TCTTCCGTGTTATTTGTATTTGTTGGAATACCGAGTTATTTTCATATTTTTTTTTAATACCTAATATCCACAAACATAAACGGGACGAAGCCGATAAGCTCTTGCACATACAATTGCATACATGTCAAAAAGATTATGCCCCCAAAAAGTAAACATTCAAAAGAAAATGAAGGAATTAATACTTTCTTCACAGTTTTAAGCAGTCCTAAATCTATACGACTAAAGCATATCTACAAAAAGAAATTCATTAAATTTACACATCATCTGACACGCTTGAATTTGCGTAAGTAAAGGAGAAATATATAAAAATAAAACCTCAAAGATTTGTAAAAATCCAGATGGCGAAAAAGCTATGAGATAATGTACTGCGAACACACGAACACAAGAAACCATTCCGTTACCACGTTTGCTCATGTTTAAAACGGCAGTGACAGCCGTACCTTTCACACGTACACAAAAATATATATGCACCCGCCGCGCAAGGACGTTCATAAATTCTTAGTATGTGTGCAAGAAAAGGTAAGCGCTGATACATAATATATAGATTTTAACATAGATAGATAGATAGATAGATAGATAGATAGATGTAGACTGAAATAAGTATATTTCATATTCAGAAACTACATATCCCTCATCCATATCCACTTTTTTTTTGTATAACCATAAATAAATGAATCTTGAAAAGATAGATAGATAGATAGATAGATAGATAGATAGATAGATAAAAACTAATTATCAATAAATCTTTTATAGCAGCCCTATCTACCCACCTGTCTACTTTCCACTTGTTTCCTATTTTAGGTAAAGATGGTGCCTGCATGAGATTGTGTATGTCCATAAACAAACACACACACACACACATATATATACATATATGTGTACGCATATATACACGCACATATATACCTACATATATATGTGTGATTACATGTGTAAATTACATCGATTGAACATTACACAGAAAAAATATCAGATCCAAATTCAACTAATATCTATCTATATCTCAGTTTACTATATTCACATAATCGTTCCAAACCCGCATTCACATAAAAATCTTTACCCACACACACACATACACACACACACACATAAAATATACTTTGTACACGTTTTATTTTTCATGGCACATATGAATGTACTTTATACCTCTTTAATTCCTATTCAGAAAGTATCGTTAAAAGAAAGTTTATGTAATTCGTAAAAAAAAATAAAAGATAATCAGAAATAGATTAAGTAAAAATTCCCCAAAAGAATACAATCATGGAGTCTATTGCAATATATGTAGTTATAATGTGAAAATCTGCAGCAAATGGCAAACGAATTTTGAGTATAGAATAAAAATCTAAAAACTGTATATTTATTCAAACTTATTACAACTGGATAAAGCTTTAATGAAGAAAGTTCATTTTTCTTACTGACAGACGTTGTAAGTTACAAGGGAAAAGAGACTGTTAGGACACTGTTTATGAATTTTAGTTTTTAATACATTCGTGAGTTTCATTGGACTATCGATAACACCTAATCGAAATGTTTATTCTTTCCTAAAAGTTTCTTGGTTAGTTTCTGTTGTCAGCAGAGAAACGAACTCACAAATCGATTTACTTTTCTTTACTATATTTACCTTTTACTAATTACTAATCGGTTCTAAAAAAGGCATGTGTCTGTCTGTACGACTAAGATTTCGTTTGCGCATGCATGTGTGTGGGTGCGTGTGCGAATTTTTGCTTAAACATATATATATATATATATATATATATATATATATATGTAATCATACGTGCACATATATGTCTTGGTATGTGTATCAGTAAATGTGTGTTTTATGTATATAAGAAAAAAGTATCTACTGATATATAAAACTGTATGAGCAAACACATATAAATAGAAGTTTTACATTTGAACAGAGCAATCACGCTTTTTAGATACATGCATACCCACCCAGATATGGTCGCTCTCTTACACACACACACACACACACACGCACACACACACACACACACAAACACACACACACATATATATATATATATATTTATATATATATATATATAAACACACACGCACTCATATAAACAGGCACATACGCACACACATAAATAAAGTTCAAGCGTGTTAACTTCCACTGAAAATCACAATTCAAAGTGAAATATTTATGTTGATTTGGACACCAGCAGGTAGTACATGAAGTCAACTAATTAGCGATTTCAGTAGAGATTTCACTATATATGACTTCTGTATATCACATTCCACAGCAGTACATATTAATAATATTAAATATATAGGATAGCGTCAATCTAGTTAATTTGGAGAAATATCCTCACAAAATACAGTATTCAAAATGCAGACTTTTATTAGATTTCAGTCATCGTCCATTTACACTTGAGGTAAACACATAATAATTGAAACCTTCATATAGGTCAGATAAATAGACGAGACCAGGATATCTATCTATCTATCTATATCTATCTATCTATCTATCTATCTATCTATATATATATATATATATATATATATATATATATATATATTACAAGTGGAATTAAGATACCTTTTCGTGAGCCAGTTTTAACATATATATATATATATATATATATATATATATATATATATATATAGAAATAAATTTTTTAGATGTGCTATATTTATGGGATAAAAATTGCTCAATATCAGAGATAGAGCGTGTGTAAATATAAATATAAAGTGAACATTGAAGTCAACACTCCAGGGCGACAAGCTGTTTCATGCTGGACGCAATCGTCAGGCCGCCGATTGTGTCCAGCATGAAACACCCTGTTGCCTCTGCGTGTTGAATTCAATGTTCACTTTTATATATATATATATATATATATATATATATATATATAGTATAAATAAGTATTCAAACAAATAGGTAAGTATTTATATATTGTTAGATTGATATTTATCGAGCATAGATATCAAAGGTTTTACAAATAAGCAATTATTATACTCACTGCTTCATTTCAAGAAGATTACATAGCGTCAGTTTTCTAAGTTAGTAATGCATGTTTACTTTTAAAATCAATAATCGAAATGTTGACACTGAATTTGACTTGGACAACAAATGGTACTACAGGAAATCTCGTTAACATCTTAGCTGCGAGCAAATTTCATTGTAATAGATAGATAGATAGATAGATAGATAGATAGATAGATAGATAGATAGATAGATAGATGGACAGACATAGTGAGAGAGAGAAAGAGAAAGAGCTCGGAGGAGGAGAAGAAGAGACTGAAAAAGATATAAGACAAAGTAACTAATAATTTGAAGACCGAGGTAGAAAGAGATATATTTCAAGAAATATGATAAAAAGAAGGAAAAAAGAAAATGAAATTGGATGAAATGAAAAGCAGAAAGAACAGTGAATGCAGGCGGGCTGGAGGAGGAGAAGCGGTAGGTGTGTCTATCATAGCAGGTTCGATCTGCTCAGAGGTAGACATAACACGTCAGTTATGATCCGTGCAAATCAATCAGGAACTCGGCCTTTTGCCACAGCTCAACGACGGTGGGTGGAGAGCAGTGGGCGGGGGCAAAATGTATGTATATAGGAGGTTGGTAGACAATGAATATACATTTAGCATCGTGGGTGTGTATGGTTATGCGTGAAAGCTAGTAAAGAGATGTGATGTCTAAAAATAAAAGCATAGATAGATAGATAGATAGATAGATAGATAGATAGATAGATAGATAGATAGATAGATATGTGAGCAGGAGGGAGTGTCAGAGTCAGTTAAACAGAGTGAGATATAAATGCATTGAGATGGTTATGGTAAGGCAGAGAGTGGTGGGGGAAGAGCATGAAGAAAGCAAGACAGTAAAAAACTTTGAAACTTTCAAAGATGCAACAGACTCTTGAGAAAGGCCGAAGAATACATCGAGAGAAATGTTGTATTACAAATAAAAATTAAGACAGATGTCTGAAAAATAAATGAAATAATGGAAATACTTCATCTTAGAAGCTGAAAAAAGCATAGGAAACGGAAACGAATACATATATTATCTAAGACATACAGGAACAAATGAACAGCTTGATAGGTAGAAATGATTAAAGAGAGGCATATACATAGAAATAGAGAGAGTGGGAGATAAATATTAAAATATTTTAATCGAGACATTGAGACGAATACTTAGAGTACATGTCTAAACAGGCAAACGATAGAGTAGGTAAGAATGAGAGACAGTCGACGAGAAAATTAGCTGGTAAGTGGGCTGTGAGCTAGATAAAAGTAAATGCAATTATTAGAAGTGAAATAAAGGTATAGAAATTAAGAAAAACAGCTTTTCAAATTTGTCTCGAAATTATTATTTCATGTGATATTCTTCGATAGTCGGTCATTCAAACAAATAGTTTTTCTTCAGTTTCTTTCCTTATCTTAATGTTTGCTCTCCTCTCTCTCCTCTTTTATTTGCTTGCAAGAAAAGTGCGGGGGCGTATATTGCATCCGATGAAGAGAATGTGGCTAAGTGGAGAAAGAAAGAAAACGGAATAGAAACGACTTTTCGTGATTTTTCTTTTCAATATATTTTAAAATGGAAATTAGAATGAAGAGAATATCAAATGGATTAAAGTGGAAGGGAAAAGCGTATTAGCCGGTAGGAGGAGACCAAGATCGATAAATAAATAACGAAGACCAAGATAGATAAATAAATAGAAAGAGAGACAGAGTGAAGAGACAAACAGATAGACAGCGACAAAGACAGAGTGGGAGAGACAGAAAAAAAAAAAGAAAATAAGTAGCGGTGATAGTTTTAATGACGCGTTACAATTATCCGTCAATATAGAAAATAAATAAGATGAATTTTATAAGGTCGACCATGTTCAAAAAACTAAAAATAGTTCTGCGTTTACATTATTATTTCATGAATCAAACTTTAATATCATTTGTTAGTTGAAGACGGACTCTTAATCTCCGCTGTAAATGAAAACAACCACACGAGGTTTGACACCGGCTGCTTGTTATATATTTTTTTTTTACAATTAAAAATTATATAATATTCTCAGTAGATGAGTTGCATGAAACTGTAGCCAGTAATCTGGAGTCAGTAATGCGTAGTCATAGTATCATTTGCTGTTTTCCAAAGAAAAACAAAATAAAAATAGCAGTAGCCACAAATGTAACTACGTCTTAGAAAAAAAAAAGGTACTTTTAGGAATGCCAGTAAAGTTTCGGTCCAGTAAAAGGAATGACAGTATTAGTACTAGAATGAGGAAAACATCCATCCTGAATTCTATTAGCAAAGTATTTTTTCAAACAGAAATCGTTCAGATTATCTACTATAAAAAGATAATAATGTTTATATTGTGGGTGTTGTTAAAGCTACAGTGACAGCCATGATAGTAGTAATAGTTATACTAAAATTGAATCCCAGTTAGAGACTGCTTCACAAAACAGGATCACTTATGGCAGTGGTGGTAGAAGTAATAGTCGTGGTTATTGTTCTTGGAATATTGTAGTTGTAAGTTGTTGTTGGAATTGTTATAACAGCAGTCTTGGATTTTGAGACCGGTTGGCTATTTTTTTGGACTGAGTTTGGCTTGTGCTAGTCACTTTCAAGTTTGGAGTTTTAAGAAATTGACATGATTGGAAAATTAATAATATACATGACTTTGTTGTACATGGGGACATCATTATAACAACAGAATGGCAAGGGTCATTCGTGTCCATTTCACGTGGACGCATCAGAATCAGATTAAGACAGAGCGGGAAATTATTAATTCGATTTCTTTTTTGCTTTTCCGTTTTTATGTGGCTTCGTTTATTTTTCACTGTCTCTTTCTGTTGTTGTTGTTTACCTTCCAATATATATATATATATATATATATATATATATATATATATATATATATATATATATATATATATATATATAGTTTGTGTCTGTGTGTACGTACACATATGTACATCAACACATTTAACACACTAACGTTAGATAAACTTGTCACATCTATCTATCTATCTGTCGGGGAACGTGCGTGTGTATGGGTATAATCAGTCAGTTATGTGCCATGCCTGATATTTTCTCGCAGTAGGTTGCCATTTCTTTCTGCGGTAAACCAGTTGCTATCCGAACTCTCCTGCTATTTACCCCTTAGATGGGGAAGAAGAATAGGATACGTACCTTTCCCAAAGGTAGTAAATGAATGTAATGGATTCGACTTGAATTCGAACTCTGGTCTCCGATTCCTCAATCCTAGCCACTATCCATTGCTCCACCGTAGAGTACAATATAAAACCGATACATCCACGAAAAATTCCTCTTACATACATACGTACGCGATGAAAGAAAAGCATACATTTAGTTGGCGCACACGCGCACACATATATATAATTATACCAGCACAAGCTTTTGCTTAGCTTGCATTTGTGAAAACTTGTTCTTAGGATCTCTGAAGGCAGATGACTCGGTATGTGTCTGATTCTCCTCTCTCGACACAGACACATACGCAAAAAAGAGGGACACATATTTCTAGTAAAAATAACAGGAACTATAAAAGTTTAAGTTTTTTCCTCATATATATTAGGGCAGTCGATTCTGTACTCTTAACTATTCTAGTTCTCATCGTCTATCTTAAGGGACAAGGTAATCAGACACCTGTAGACATATATGTATATGTGTCTTGTCAAAATATATAGACAACTATTAAATAAATATATAGGTTGATGTTATATATATATATATATATATATATATATATATATATATATATATATATATATATATCAAAAATACAGATTCTTTCAAATATACTGATAAAGATTTTTAATTAGCCATAAAGTAGCCAGTTAGCATAACAATATTCTTTTCTCTAATCTATATATCTATATTTAGTGGATATTTACACATTTGTCGAACATACATCAGATGTATACCAAAGCACAAAAGACCCATAAGTGTAGATTTTCTAACGCAATGCATTCTGTAAATATGGTCTATTAATTTACAACTCTAAGAAGCACACGCGTGGGCATGAGCGCGCATATACACGCATATTGGGTGGACAAAATGATCGTGCTGTTTTGTTCTTCATTAGATGGCATCAGCAGATTTGACTTTTCAATTAATTCCAAAAGATGACTTTAATTCTATTATGACAGCTGTCACATCAGTGTGTATTTTTTATTATCAAAATAACTTATTTTTAACTATTGATTTTAACAATGAAGCTGTGGAGAATAGTGCATATTTTGGGCATATTTTTTCGTTTTAGTAAATGTAATATGCGTTTTATTATGCTAATTGATTTGATGTATAGCTTCCACATAAGTTAAACTAAACAACAAACAAAAAAGATTAAAAACTACTGGGCTGTATTTCCGTGCGTGTTCGGTACTTAAAAGAAATGGAAGCATTTATTTTTTTAAAGAAATTGTGACGAGCAATGAAAAGTCGATATTTAATAACATGGAACGCAAGAGATTGTCAAGCGAACAAAATGTGTTCCATCCAAAGTACCAAGCTCCGCTCTTCATTCATAGTTAATACGCTGTGTATATGGCAGAATTAGTAGGGAGTCCTCTATTATGAGCTTCTGCCGAAGAACTAAACGAATGATTCGAACAAGTACTGCACCAGTGCAGTACGTTATGAATATCGTCGGGGATTAGAAAACGGATAATGCACAATAACACATTAGACTATTGCTAAGCTGTATGATTCTTTGATGGGCGGGCGAAAATTGTTACAGTGTGGATGGAATGTATTCACCTTCAGGTTACAATTTATTCTAGTCTGTAGAAATTTATCTGATAAAAAGCTAAAAAACAAACAAACTCAGAAACTGCAAAAAGTCCGTAGAAATCTGCTGAGAAATAGAAAAATTATGATGGAAATTTGAAGTTGCTTAGAAAATGGCAGAAGATAATGAAACAAAACGGTAAATATGTTTAGTAATGTATAAACTGTTTTATTTTTACTTATTAAACTGAAGGAAATCATTGGCCAAATATGTATCCATAGACGTTCATATACATTCACTCATAAGGTATTCCATTATTGTAAACTTTTGACACATCAAGCAAGGTTTATTAAATATCTATGGACTTTCCAAATGTAAAACTTTCACTCAAACAGCTTTTTTCCCAAGAACTTTAATTATGTGAAACAGGCTCCTGCGTGGATACTTCCCTGAATACCACAATATTAATATCTTCAAGTCGAGAATCAATCGTTATTTATCCTCCTTATTTTAATAATCACAACTTTCTACGAGCTCCTCTTTTACTAATATCGCATACTTCATTATAAACATTTTAATAGTAACCCTCGACATTGAATAGCTCTCGACCTTTGTACTGAGTGGACTTTACAATATAAGAAAAAAACATATAAATAAATATATACTTATCGAAATTATTAACGTAACCCCAAAAAGCATGCTTTAAGAAATCAATATTTGACTATACATAGGAAATCTAATGAATTTTTACTTTATGCTGTTTTTTTTTAAAAAAAATTTGATTGTTATTCACATCAATTTCAATCATTACGGCAAATACATACATAACAGATGTCATTAGAACATGATATTATCAAATTGATTTTAACAGACACAGAAATATTTACAACTATTTCGCAAATATTTATTAAGTGCAAACATACTTTCCAAAGTTTTCAATAATCATGTTTTTTTTTTTAAATATTTTGATATATAAGCTATACATATAGCTAGATATATAAATATTTGCACACTATATATATTCGTATGTGTTTATTTTTATGTATGTGTGTGTGGAAAACACATTATATAAATGTAAATATTATGTAAATATGCATAAATTTTAAATGCAGTCTATAGATTATTAATTATTAAACCCATAATAAAGATTAAAAGAAAATATGCAGCAAAATCTGCTTGTATGGAACACCCGACTTTTCATAGAACAAAATACCCTCCACACACACACACCGCCAGAATATAGCAGAGACATGTATTTAGTGACGTACTCTATTATGTCACAAACCGGTTTCTTCAGAAGAATTCAACTTAATAATTATTTAAGCAAATATAATGTTTTTTCGTCAATCTTTTCAATTTAAAATCGAATTTTTGAATCATAAAAATATTGACAGCGATTTTTAAAGCACCCACTCGTCATTGTAGATATTTCATATTGTTCAGCAGATATGAACGGCAGTCAGGAATTCCGAGTTGTAACATTCTGTCAAGTCAGAAAGCCCTGCTTAACTACGAATATTAGCATTCAGTTTCAAGGTTTTATTCAGAATCAATTGCGTAACTATATTAACCATTAAACATATCCCTATATATAAAGCTACGCGAAAGATATAGGTAAAGACGTATATATAAATATACATTTATATGAATATGCATATATGTGCGTGCGTGTGTGTGTGTGTGTGTGTGTATGAATACGTAAATATACATGTAGACGTGAAAAATTCACACACATTTGTATAGAGATATGTGTGACATAATTTTTCAGAAAATTAAAAAGATTTCATGACTATATCTGAATATATATATTACCTTATTTGCATGTTTTTGCTTCTGTGTGTGCGAGCATAACTGAGTGCATTCAAGTGAAGTGATCATTTTGAATATTGACAAACCAAAAGTCAAAATTTAAGAAAATCGCCGAATATTGAATTTTCTCATTGAGAAAAATCCATTCGTATGTATATACATTTATGCATGCATAAGTTCAAGATTTCTGTATACATATGCGTGTATTTGTGACTAAAGTTTTGCATGTATACGTGTGCGTGTGCTTGTGTGTGTGTGTATGTTTACTATGGTTTGTACGCCTATGTGTCTGAAATATAGAAACAAAGAAAGTAAAACCATGTAAGAAAAATATATAAAATATATATTACTAATTTTCTATTTGACCAGTGATATTACGCTCGTTAAATTTTAAAATTCTATGTTAAAATTTCCATTCACTCCATATGATTAAATATGAAGTGACATGAAAAATAATGACAGTAGAAATAATGAAACCCTAATAAAATTTGGATTCTATCGGCGCCTGTATTGGAACCCAAGGTTTCAACTTTTCTTGTCTGCTGACTGACTTTACCAAACCATCACGATCCTATTTGGCTTGAGATATTTTCTGTACCAATAAATTAAATATTTCTGATGTTAGGAGAAAAAACTGACGATAAGCACTAAATTTTGTTTGAATAAGTTTCTGTATATAATTTGTGTGGTGTTTATTGAAAGTCAGAGAAAATGGTAGTCAGAAATTAATGATACAATGATATCCCCTTAATTTAAATGTCGACATTTAAGTCAATATTTATTGTATAGAGTATATACTTCCCAAAATCTGACCAAAAAACTAAATAGAATTTCTTTGGGAAGAATGTTTTTTGTATTTATTTTCTTTTTAATAAGGCAGTGAACTTTTTAGCTCTTCCTTGTATATTTCTTTTCAGATGTTCTTCATACTATTCGGCACACACAGATTTTTTGTTCTTTCTAATTTCTTTTTCTGTTTTGATCAAATAATCTTCTAATTGTTTTATATTTGTTTAGCTGTTTAATATGTTTTTCCATACTAAAATCACAAGTTTAGTTCCAAAACCTCAAAAATATACTGGTAAGTTATTACAAAGATTTTGACTCGACAGCAATCAATTGCGACAGATTCGAACCCAGTCTGATGGTAGTGTGACTGTGTAGTCACTGCATATGTGATTATTATTATAATTATTATTATTATTATTATTATTATTATTATTTGAATTCGTTCTTTATGAACATATGCTTTCTTGAATTAATTGCCTGCTATTAATTTATCTTTGTTCATAAGTTCTTTCAAATTGAATGAATACATACTTTTATAAAACTTACTCATATCCCGTAATACAATTCCTGAGATTAACGTACTAATCGGTGAGAATATAATTATCTGTGAACCTTTCAATGTCAAGAGGTACAAGTGTAATATTTCGAGTGATAAACCTTTGCATTCATCTTAAACTGAATTCGACCACTTTACTTTTTACTTTTTTTTTGTTTTTTGCGCCGTCTGTTTTCTCAAGTCAATGTATTACTCCATGCAGAGTCAAAAATGTTTTCGCATGAGAATAGATTTGTTTTTATTTTTCTGCTTGGGGAAAATATTTCAGACATTTTTTTTAATATATTTAAGTAATCATTACAAAAATAGGAGTGTGTCGACTTGCAAGAAAATTACATGCATTCTAAAAAATATTTTCCATCGATTAATTTATTTTTAGAAATTAACGTTGATTTATGTAGGCATATAATTACACAAAGACATATATATATATATATATATATATATATATATATATATGTGTGTGTGTGTGTGTGTGTGTGTATGTGTGTGCAAAGAAAGAGATTAAAAAGAGAGTGAAAAAAAAAATATATATATATATATATATATATATATATATATATATATATATATATATATATATATATATATATATATATATATAGAGAGAGAGAGAGAGAGAGAGAGAGAAGTAGCCTGAGATCCAGACCAGAAAACAAATACATTAAATACATTGATCAACAGACATGCATTAACAGAAATCATTACTAAATAGATACGTGTAGGGAATCAAGGATCTTTGCAATTTTTTAAAACTTATAAATTTTGTGTATGCAATGCATACAAATGTGTGCATAGATTGATTCTTGAAAGTACATATATATGTTTGTTATCTATCTATCTATATATATATATATATATATATATATATATATATATATATATATATATACTACGATATTGAACAAATAGGAAATATCAAGCTAACATGTATCACTTTTATTAAAACTTCAACAGCTTTAATAAATTTAAATATGCTAGATTAATAAACATTTACTATTTGTTCATTATCCTATCATTATGACAGATTCGATCCATATTTTATCTGTATTTGATTCCAATTCATATATGTATATAGTAAATATAGAATTGGACACTGAAGTCGACAACCAGAGGCGACAAAATGTTTCATGCTTAAAAACGGAGTCGTCAGGACATGTGGTTTGCGCATTTAAGCATGAAACATTCTGTCGCCTCTGTTTGTCGACTTCAGTGTCCACTTTTATATTTACATACGCCCGGTCATTGATACTGAGCACTTTAACCCATAAAAATAAGACACGTTATGACAATATTTTATTGCAAAATAATAGTTATAAATTATAATAGTTATAAAACATATTAGTTTTGTACCTCATAGATTAGTTTTGTTTTATAAAATCAGCAACAATCAAGGAAATTTGCATATTAGGTATAAAATACATAATATATCTATATGTATGAGGAAAAGTCGGCCTTGAACAGAGTACGCGTATGTGTGTGTGTATGCGAGTAAGATTTCAGGAAGTTGATCCGTTCGAAAATTTTCAGTATTCCTTGTACACGCATATCTTTGATTAGGTACGTACAAAATAATAGATAGATAGATAAATAGATAGATAGATAGATAGATAGATAGATAGATAGATATTAAGCGTATGAAAACACATACATGCATACATACATATTTACGTTCATATATGTCCTTGTGTTTGTATTGTTATATCATGTCTGCGTATGTTCGAGCAATATATGCTGGCGGAAATGTAAATTGTCCTATATAAAGTTTGATTGCAAGTGATTAAATCATATCTATTTCTATAGCGACCTCTATAAACAAATCTGTCTATATTAATACAAAACTTTTGGCTTGAACAATCGTGTAAAAGCGTGTACAAGGAGACTAAAATATAAATGATAAAAAAATTACTGTCAATTACTGTGCCAACCTAAGTGCATTTTAAAATTAGAACATTTTTAATATGTAATTGTAATAGAAAAAATAAAGGAGGCCCGGTGGAGTAATGGATAGCGGCTCAGATTGAGGATTCAGAGAGCCGAGTTCGAATTCCAATCCAATCCGTCATATTTATTAATAAGGTATGAATCGTCTTCTCCCCATGAGCTAAGGATAAATAGAGCGGGTTCTATAGACTTAGATGGCTACTGGTCTACCACAGAAAGAAATGGCAAGATACTGCGGGAAATAATCTGCCTCGTCAGTCATGTATCTTTCGATACATGACTGACGAGACAAAATAAGATAAGATATATCGCCTAAGCGTGTATCACGCATGGCGCATAACTGACTGAATAGAAAATAGACTCCAAATTTGAAAAAAAATCCGTGGTTATAGCTACAACTGCAATTTTTTAGTAAATGTAGATAATTAGAAATAATAATAAAGTCGCATACACACACACACATACATACATAAATACACGCACGCACACATACACACACATATATATATATATATATATATATATATATATATATATATATATATGTATGTCGAGATTAATATTAAGCACAGTGCATTAGGTTATTTTACGATGGTAAACTAATTACATAATCTCAATATGTTCTGCCTTTTCTAAATTATTTAAATTTTCATCATCAGAATATTCAGAGCTGAGTATGAAAAACTTAATTCTTTAACATTCTTAAGCATCTTAATCATTAGCAAATGACAATTAGTGCTTTTTAGAAAATAACTAATAGCGATCTGTTTACAAATGTAACAAGTTTCATTCCTTAAATTTATAAAATTTGACTTTAAATCTCTTACATATCGTCCATTGAAAATTAACAACACTGAACACCGGATAATTAATGATTTAAATTATGTAAAACGCATATTACAAAAAATACCTTTTATTCATTACCGTTTATCCAAGATAAGCGATAAATAAAATAAATAGAAATAAAATAAAAGCAAAATTATCGAATGATAACATTAATCAAAACAAATAAGTTTGAAAGCATTAACTGTAAATTTAGTTATATTGGTGTGATGTCTTGTCATTTCCATGAATGCCCCATGGAACCTCTGATTGGGGATAAAATGTCCTCAATTTTCTAACATTTCTCAAATAAGCATTTGTGTGAATAAATGTAGTTTTATTGTTTTTCTGTCATAGACAGTTTTTCTATCATATTTTCTATCTACTATACAAATATGACAGTTTTTAAAAGCCTATGTTGTGCTGAGCCTCTCCTCCTTTTTTCTTGTTCTTTTCTTCTCTCTATAATAAATTTAAATTACTGATTTATCTTCTCTTTCTAATGTTGAGTTATTGTCCGTTAAAAATCTGTATTCTGATGTGGAATTTGAACTTAAAAATGAATTAAACGTAAATGTTTGACTGATGAAGACAGCAGAATTCCCGAAGTATGTACCAGCATTCAATAAACTACGTACACACAAATGTGTGTGTGTGCGCGCACGCGCGCATGCATCTATGATGCTACATAAAACTTGGGAGAATTTGGCTATAAAACTAAGTAACTTACACTAATACCTATTCATCATCGACAGATTTGAATATAGAAAGCACTGCACACAAATAATGGTGGCATTTTTTTTTCTTTTTTAAAAAACAAAACAGAATACAGTTTTTCAATAAATTGGTTGTCATCCTCGTCGCCGTCGATGCAGCTTCGGAAATGATTGCTTGCCCGGATGGTTTGGTTCTCGTTCATGTTAGTCATGATGTCCACGATGGCGGCCTTCAAAGATTTCTTGGATCGCCAGTATGTCTTCCTCTGGACAAGGTCTTAGACATAGGAGAAGGCTAATTGTTTGCTGAGACATAATGGAGAATTTCTCAGCCAATAAATCTTGATCCATGTAGGAGGGACCAGAGTCCTGTTGGTACACATACCACCACTATCAAAACAGTAGTTGCATCTACTGCAAGGAAAGTTGTGTCATTGTTTCATGCTAGAATATTTTTCTCGTCAGAGACCATCTTGCACATTTACAAATCTATCATTCGTCTGTGCATTGGATACTATTGCCATATCTGGTCTGCTGATCCCACTATTCATCTCGAGGTTCTTGACAAAATTCAAAGAAGGATCTGCAACGTAATTGGTCCTGACTTGGCATCTCTTCTTCAGAAACTTTGACAGATAGATAAATTCAGAAAAGTAATATGACAAATTGGAAAAAAAGATATATCATATATGTGTGTGTGTGTGTCCCAAAATTTATACCCACATTGTTAATAGAAGTTAAAGCAATTGCCTAAGTGTTAATCAAGCACAATAATCATATGCAGTTGTTTCAAATCTTTTGAAATATTTGCACACTGCACTGTCATGAAACAATCCATCCAACATGCAGCGACAGGCATGCTACGAAGAGTGTTGAAGTTTACTGTCACTTGATCCCTAATTACAACCATTAATTATATAAATAAATAATACGGACAACGTAAAGGAAATAATTATAATAATTATAATTATAATAATAATAATAATAATAATAATAATAAATGCCCTAATGTTACACAGATCATGGTTCTCATGACTTCCGATCTTAATTGATTGAAAGTTTGAACATGTACATATTTTGTCTTTGTGAATTAAAATGGGCAATTTGCTCATCGGTTGCCTGACCATAACCAGTTAGGTATGTGTGGGAGTATTTAGGGAGCATTATAGTCGGGTGTCATAAGTTTTTTTTTTATGAGGCAGCCAAGGCAATTTAGGTGCAGTATCTAGCTACTAGGGAATACACTCAATTGGAAACCGAGTGGGTTAGGTTATCCGATCTGAAGGTATTTCTAACTGCACTGTACCTACAAAAGGTTATGCGACGCTTTTATCAAAACTGGTCATGATAAGACGCATTTTTGACTGCGATACATTTACTTCGTATCCCTTTATCAGACTTGGTGCCAGGATGAGTTTGGTATAAACTTACGGCAATGTGACTTTTGGGGCATACAGCTCTCTCATCTAATAATGACAATAATAATAGGAAATTGTATATATATATATATATATATATATATATATATATATATATATATATATATAAACAGAGCAAAATGTGTTCTAGAGAATGAGACACACCACGTTTACTAAGAAGAGGTCTTGTGGATTTGAAGGAACTTGCTGTTCATTACTCTGCATTGTAAGACACCATATACTCCGAACCGGAACACTCAATGAGCAAATAACAACAACAACAACAACAACAATAAACGAATTACAATAGCCAATATATATTTAAAACAATTCTACAGATATTTCAGAAGACATAGTGAAAAACTGCAGATGAAATGTGTGTTGAAATGGAAATATAATAATAGAAAACAAATAACTGTTAATGCCGACCTAGAACAACGCCCAAAGAACCAATTATATATGAGAAGACACAAATGTAGACATTGCTAATATAGTGAGAAGGCTGTCAACAATATAAGCGAATGCAGCTAGTTAGTTCGGAAAGCGTACAAAAACAGGAATGACTAGAATGGAATGACAATTCACTGGGAACTGTACAAATGCCAGTGATTCGATCATACAAACCAATGCTATACGTACAGAATATATATTCTAAAGTAAGTGATACACAAAATAATCTGGGACTGAGAATCAAATGGATCAGCCAAACCAAGTTATAAAACCGATTGGAAAGTAAGATGTTTCCCTTCAGATACAAAATTGAAATTACAAGGTGAGATTAAAACCAAGATGTTTCTTGTTGGTATTGAGAGAAATAGAATAGCACTGAATAATATATTTCCCTCTTTTGAACTCAATCAATACTAATCATATCATTTCCAGCGTAAAACAGCTGTTCAACTATGCAGTTAAAGTTTTCAAAAAATAGTGCTAGTACCAAATATGAAGATAATTATTGAAACCCTGAGAAAATTCCCATATACTCTTACAAAACGTCTGGAAAAAGGAAGTTCTATGGTAGAAATGAAGGGATTCAGATCATTACACTCTTGAGGAGTGTGGCGGTAAATTGGAGAGAACTAGAATTCATTGTGGAAAACATATACCATATAAGTTATATCCATTTAAGTAACTGGTTATATCCTTCACCAATTGGACATTACGACCAGACGAGACCGACTATTAAAACGATTCTTATTCTCCTTGGTAATAAAACTTTTTTCTCAAAGAGTTTATGACATAATATTTGAATAAAATTGTTTCTGTATCTATAAATTATGAGCAAGAGATTTTTCAGCTACCGGTCTGCAGCTTCTATTCTGATTGAATGTAGATAGTGGCAGTAACTGGAATCTAATTTCATGCAGTTTGAAAAAAAACCTCCCACCATTATCATTATCCAAAATTTGTCGAAACAGTTGATATATTTGTTATTATGAAAACCCTTTGGCGCAATAAAAAATAGTCAAAACATGGTTAGTATTGAAGATGGGTGACAACATTAGACTTACGTCGGATCAATTGAGTTTTAAGCAAGCTTATGGCCAGAACTACCAGGTAATAGGCAAAAAAAGAAGAGGAGGAGGAGCTGGAGGGGAGAAAGAATAAACTGGATAAAAAGCAAATTGATTAATGAGAAAAGATCGGGAATATAACGAATAGATAAATAAAGAAAAGCAGAGAAAAAGAGACGAAGAATGTGATGGACAATATGAAAACTGAATGAGAGTAACGTCGGAGAAAGCGGAA